TACAGTGATCCTGCTGGGTCCCCTGCATTGTTCTAGTATCCACCAATGACTTTTGTATGCTTTTTTTTTTTTTTTTTGAGCAATGATTTAAGGCTTCGCATAAACAATGAACACTGGTGGGTGCCACGGAGCGTGCCGCAATGGATGGCTGCATTTATTAGCCACATGAGGTCAGCAAAGTGACAAGCGAAGGCTGGGACTGACCCTTCCACTACCATATAGCTGATCAGTGTAAGGGCAAGGTCATAGCTTAGAAAATTCCTTCAATGGTCTTTTTTTCAGAGCACCCTCAGAGGTTTGCCACCTCTGAGGACAACTCAATGAAAGTCTGCAAAAGAGGCCCCAAGCTGTTGAGTGCAACACTGCTCTTACTACTCTCTTTGCGCTGTGTGTAAGTAGGAGGCCGCTCTGCCTGAGCTCGTGTCCATTATCAGTTCAATGGATCACCTGCCATTGCAGATACAACTGACTTCACTGTATTAAAACCAAAATTGAATTATATCTCAATACTTAAAGGACGGACAATTTTGCAAAACCCAAACCATCCCCCCTCTCTGAAACCTACTGCACTAGTTACCATTAAAGCTTTGCCATTTTGTTTGCTTAATTTGGGCATGTCATTTCAAATCTGACTGGGAGATAGTCATGTTTCCATCTGGAGCATTTTAAACTGGCCACAGTCTGGGTCAGGCCTCTGAACTAATTCATCCAAGCCAGTATGGCACTACCAATTTTCTTGTAACTGTTTGATAGTCTATTTCTATGATCCTGATTTGTGTAATCCTTTAAGTTATTGTTAGGTACTCTTTTGGGGAATCTCTTGACCTAGTACACACCTTGCTTGGGGATTTATTATGTTAAATATTACTTGTTTCTAATAAGGAAAACCTTTGCTTTACTTTGGTCTGTTTGTGATCATTTTTCTTCAGGGGCCTTAATAGAACAGGCTTCTCTGCTAGATACTAGGGGCCAAAGAATCTCCTGTCATCACCTACCCACAGGCTGTTATGCGACAAGGACCTCACTGTTGCCAGAGGTAGCTCCTGCCCGTGTTACGTACCTACCAGGGGGACGGAGGGGGCAGGACACGTGCAATTGCACCGCCAGCTGACCCAGGTGTGAATGTTGATGCACCGCAGACCATGTGGAGAGGCAGCTGTATGTGCTCTGTGTTAAGGGCGTAGGGAAGGAGTAGTAAGGCCTATTCAGGGAGGATGCCGATATAAGTGCTTTTAATTAGCTCAGCTGTATTACTTGAGGTCTTAGCCTTCTGCCAGTATACTTTTTCCAGTGATCAGTGACTTGGTGCTGTAGAGTAATGTGTGTGTATGGACAGGGCAGGCAAAGGCCTTATGTGCTCCTTAATTGCCATTTCCACTAGAGGACTTAAGTGATCCGTAGAGTGTTCAGCTGTAACATTGTGCTGCTTGTCAGCACGATTTTACACACGCTAGTAAACTTACCTTTTGGCCCATAGCTTTAAAGCATGTCTAGATCTGTCGGGTCTTTGCTTCTAGGGAGATAAGCTAAGAGGGAATGTAGGGCATTATGTTTTTTTATAAATATATATATTTAAAAAGTACCAAGCACAGGACATGTGACGGTTCTAACCTTGTTACCAGTGTGTAGATAATGTTGGGTTGGGTTTTTTTACCCGGCTATTTATAGTTATTTGCTGCATTTCTCTTATTTCATCTGTACTATTCAATATTTTTCAGCAGCACAGACTAATAATGGATTAGGCTGAGGTTCTCAGGCCAGATCCCAGATGATACAATGCAGCACGCTTCTCACTTACCGCTTTTGGAGGCTGCAGGTCTGATTTATACTGGCAGGGGACCTCTTCCATATCTCTCTGTGTAACAATGTGTCTCAATGTATTCTTGATTTTTCTACTGTAGAGCTGAAAATGAATATATAAACTTTTCGTCTTTGGGGTTTTTTCCTGCTAAAAAACCCAAGCCACCTCTCCACTCCCATCCCCCCAGACTTTCAGCGATGAATTGTGTCTAGACGCATTTAGAATGTAGGTCAAATAAATGGAAGATACTAATTGCTACGTTGGGAGGGATTTCCACTGAGTATTTGGGCTCTAGATTCTAGCTAATGCCAAGAGGCCATTGTACAAAACCCACGCAGCTAAGAACAGAAGTATATGGAGTATTTTTATACTCTTGGTGACTAAAATATTTCTTTCTCAAGTCACTAATTAGAAAGGGAACATTTTGTATTCTGAAGGTGAAATGGTAGGTCAGTACCTTGTAACTACAAAAGTCATACTTGCCTATATAAGTAGTGTAGTGCTATGATGTGTTGCTGCTTTGCACTACAGTGTTAAGGATAAACAACTTTGGGGGTTGCAAAGATGAATGAACTAGCTTATGTTTTGAGGTCTTTACAAATAAGATGTAAGGACTCAATCAACGGGCCAGGATATTGTAGCTTTCTCATGGCCCATAAAACGACAGTGGGCATTCAGGGGTATGTTGAGGGTGTGATCTCCGTTACTACTGCATTGCTTAGGTGATCAGCATCCATTGGAGACTCGAGGATTGAGAGGGAAATTGCCATTTGTTTTTGTGGTTTTCATGTCAGGCCTTGTTCTGCTTTACCAAGGTATATACCTGAATTGATCTCCTACGTAGAAAAGAGTGCATCTTGCAGGAAGCTCTCATTTGTGATGCTGAAATGGAGTTTCGATATTCTTTATCACCAGTAGCCTCTTCTCTGCCCTAAAGCCCATCTCTGTACTCTCCCTCTAAGAGCTGGAACTGAATAGGTGAGAACAAAACATGGGAAAGCGGGATTTGTAGACCTGTCGTACAGAAAAGATGAAAGAAATTGTTGATGAGGGGACTCCTGACATCACAGGGAAACTTCCTAGTTCTTGATTCCATAAATCAGCAACGACAGTCTCTTTCATTACTTCCCCCTTGTTTTAGCTTTACTCTTCACCTTGCTCTTTAATACTATGCAGTTGTGTTTATGCATATCTGACCTTTATCGTATATGCCATTTTT